CCAGGGCTGCAGGTGGGGGACCCAGGGCGGCAGGTGGGGACCCAGGGCGGCAGGTGGGGAACCCAGGGCTGCAGAAGCTGATGGAGCCCCTCGGGGTTGGTCATCTTGCAGCAGCTCCGCCGGCAGTGTGGAGCCGGCGGCGCCCGCGTCAGCTACGGCACACACAGAAGCATCAGCGTGTGCAGCTCTGCCAGCAAGAGGTCGATCCTCGTGTGCAGGCAGGACCCGGCCGACGGGCACCCACCGTTCTTCCAGCCGCCCGGCTCTCCCAGCCCACCCCTGCCAGCCGCCCGGCTCTCCCAGCCCACCCCCTGCCAGCCGCCCGGCTCTCCCACCCCACCCCCACCACGGACGTGCGACATCAGCTCAGAAGTGACTCCTCGCCCCTCCTGGGTCCCCCAGCCCGCGGGCCCGGGGGGTCGGCCCTGTGGGTGAGATTGAGTCCAGGCCACACCTGCCAGAGCTGAGACAGGGCGTCCTGGCTCCCTGGGTCTGTCCCCCACCGTGTCCCAGCCCCACACAGCAGCGCCGGGCGGCTGGAGGAGCCCGCAAACACAGGTCCGTCCAGAAGAGGCAGCTGAGCACCTGCTGTGTGCGCGGCGCTGCTCTCGCGTGAATAGGGCTGTCCCCAGTGGGTGAGGATTAAAGGCAGCACGCGGGGGGCCTGGTGCGCGCTGAGGGTGACTTGGGGTCAGGGCGGGCTGTCCCCAGCAGGTGCCGGCCGAGCAAACGCCAGGCTGAAAAGAGCCAGCATCGCTCACCCAGCCCTGCCCGTGCCCTGCGCGCCGGAGCTACGCCTCCCAGAGCCCTTTGCGTTCGGCCTCCCTGGTGGGAGCAGACAGAAGCCAGGGATGCCCCGCCCCCTCCCCGTCCCAGAGGCCAGAGTGCGCGCGTGGGCACGGTTTGATTTCTGGACCGGCCTGCACTGTGCTCGCCCACCCCACCCCGCGTCCCTGCACTGATGCCTGGGGCACTGATGGTGGGGCTGTCCCAGGCGGAGCGGGGCCACCCTGAAAAGACCCAGGTCACAGATGCCCCCACGCCACGCCCCTGGTTCCCCCAGTGAGAGGCAGCTGCTTGGCCAATGGGCGAAGCCACGGTTCCAGCCTCCGGCCTGGCTGTGCTGTCCCCGCCCCCTGGGTCCTCAGCGCCGGGGGCCCCCCAGTTTCTTTCCCGAAGCCGACACCTGCCAGTCCAGCTGGGGGCTCGGCAGGGCAGACTGTGGCTGAGAAGGGCAGCGGCTTCCCGGCCCCTGCAGGGGGGCGTGGCACGCCCGGGTCCACCCGTGACCGTGCAAGACATGGGCGACACAGGCCACAGGGTGCACGGTGTGCAGTCTGCTCCTGGCAGTGTCCACGGCGAGATCTGTGGTTAAGCTGAGGGACCGTGAGCCAAGCAGAGCGCCCTCCCTCACGTGGTGGGCCTCGCCCGATCAGGCGAAGGCGAGGGGGCTTCCCCAGGGCAGCGGCGGCCACACAGGGCCTCGGCCTCCCGCCTGCCGGCTCTCCCTGCGGGTTTGGGTTTTGCTGGTCTGCGGGGCGGCTCCAGCCAGCTCCAGCCGGCCTCAGCCAGCTCCCTCCCACAAGCGTCTCTCGACGCCGCCTCTCTCCACAGCTGTGACTCGACAGCCGGGGACGCGTCCACTCTCCCTGGGGAACAGACGCATTCTCTCCGCTGACCGATGGCCGAGAGCGTCTTCCCCTTCTCGCACTGGCCGCCAGGAAGCTGCAGCCACCACGGGAGGTGTCCCAGGCGCCGGACCCGTGCCGGGCTCACCGCGCTCTCCTCACGTCTTCTCCTGATGCTGACCCTGCCGGGTCCCATGCACGTGGTTTCCTGCCACGTGCTGACAGCTAACGGTGCTCGGCGCCACGTGCCAGAGGGTCCCGCCCCTTCCCCTGGCCGCTGGCCAATCCGCTGCCCGGGGCTGGGTGTTCCAACAGCCGTGCACACAGCCGTGAGTGAAGACAGCGCAGAGGGCAGCCCCGGCAGGCAGCTGGAGACCCCGGGCGCTCAGAAACACCTCCCCCTGCTGCCCCTCCCCCCGCCCACGCCGGTGCCGGAACCAAGGAAGGAGCCTGCCTGTGGCTTTGAACTCCGGGAGCAGCAGGATCTGGGAAGCGTGGACTTGAACCTCTCTGAGGACGCCCCCCCCCCCCGGGATCCACCCCTGGGCAGCCCCCACCACGTCCCGCACTGCTGCCCGCTTGGAGGCCAGGCAGCGACTGGGGGAGGGGCATTTCTCTCCGCCACAGTCGGCTGCTCCTGTCCCGAGCCACAGTGCCCGGCCACGCCCAGGGTGTGGACGGGGTGACAGCAAGACACTGCCACGCTGCCTGGCCCCCGTGGGGCTGCTTCGGGGACCCCGTGTGCTGCCCCTGCCCCCTGCCCTCTCGTCTCCACCACCCAGGCTCTAAGCTCAGGGCGCCACCTGCCCCTCAACACAGCCCCACCCGCCCCTTCCCCGTGACCTACACGGGGGTCCCTTGGGTGCAGGAAGCTGCCGGCACAGGCCTGGGACACAGGGCCCCGACAAGCTGCAAGCCTCTCTCTCTCTGTCTCTCTCTCTCTCTCTCTTCACGGGGGCCGGGGGCTCTGTGTCACGAGGTTGTCCAAGCACCTGGGCCCCCCTGCCTGTGTCTCTCTGTCCCCCATCCTCCAAAGGACACATCCAGCGCTCTCACCGGTTTGCTCCGCACCGGAGAGAGGAGGGGGAGCTTGGCGGACAGGGGCAGGCGCCCTCCCTGCCCACGCCCCAAGGGCCAGGGAACGCAGGCCGAGCTGGGCCTGGGGAGTCCCGGGATTGGGACCCCCTTGGCGGGGCACAGCGGGCGGAGTCGCCTCCCACTGCAGGGTCTCGCGGGTGAAGGGACTGACAGGTGGCCCCCGGGGAGGCGGCTCAGCGCACGGGCGTGGTGTCCACCGCCTGCTCTCCCGCACTGACCACGTGCTCCCGTGGCCTCCCTCTTCCTGTCCCAGGGTGGGGGAGGGGCCTCGATCCTGTCCCTCCGACTCCTCTCCCTCTCAGGTCACGGCTCTCACCCCGGCCCCTGTGCCGCCTCCCAACCCCGGACCCCCCTCGCTTGCCCGGGAGCCCCCGGTAGCTCCCTCAGGTCTGCACGCTGCAGCCCAGACTCCTAGCCGAGCTGCAAAGCCCTCTCAGCTTGCGCCCATCCCGCCTCACCATTGCACAACCTCACCACGACTTCCGGGCACTCAACATCCAGACCAAGGAGTCTCACTTTTGGGGGTGCATGGGCGTCCCGTGCGGGGCCTGCGAGTAACATTCGAAGTCCGGAGGCGGCCGGGGCGAAGGACAAGGATCCGGCAGGTCGGCGGCCCCTGGGGTCAAGTGTAAGCTTGTTCTGGGCTTCCAGCCTGCAGGCCGCTGCCCACGCTGTCCCTTTCCGCCTGGACACGCGTGCCCGAGCCCGTCACTGAGGACGCCTGCCCAGACCCCGCGTTCCCGCGGCCCCTTCCCTCCCAGTCCCTTGGGACAGCAGGACACACACCAGCTGGAAGCTGCGGGAGGCAGGGGCATTCATCCCGCGGTTGGGGGGGGGCGCCCAGGTGTGCGGTCCCGGCAGAGCCCCCTGCACCTGTGGGGACCCCACGCAGCCCGGGGCTCACAGAGGAAACCCCTGCCCCGTGCCCTCAGCCCTGGTGTTTTCAGAGCCAATGACCCATGCCCAGCACGGGGCTCTGCGGGTGTCCTGGCTGGCCCCCGGGGCAGGGGGGCCCTGGCAGGAGAGGCCCCGAGCCCCACCCCTACCACGCCTCTGGCCGGGACACCCCAGTGGGAGAGATGGCCGCGGCTGGGGTCGGGGGCGCCTGTCCCGTCCCGTCCCATCCAGGAGAGGGGAGTGCTGGTTTCGGGGTCTTCCCGCGCCTGGCCCCGCCCCACTGCCCATCCCCTGAAGGGGCCCTGGGGACCCGAGGGAGCCCAAGGCCCCCAGGAACAGCCTTTTCCGGGTCTGTGCGGCGGTGAGCTCAGAGCCCCAGACCCAGAGACAGGACTTGCTGCTTAAGTGGGAGGGGCAGCAGGGAGGGGTGGTGGGCGTGGCTCGCTGGGGACCAGGACCAGGACCTCCCATGGCCTGCGGGACGTCCCGGGTCAGAGCGCCTGGGTCCCAGCCCTGGCTCTGCTCGGGACTCGGCGTCCTGCTCGGAGCCCCCAGGGGGCAGGGGGCAGTGGCCCCGGCTCAAGTGCTGGGCCCTGCCACCCGTGGGAGACAGGAGGGAATCCCCGGCTCCTGGCTTTGGCCTGGCCCAGCCCTGGCTGCCGAGGGCATTCGGGGAGTGAACCGGCAGGCAGGACATCTCTCTCTCTCCCTCTCTCTCTACCTTTCAAACAAGTGAAATAAAATAAAATAACTTTGAAAACCAGGCTGGCTCTGACGAGACATGAGCCACCGGCCTCTGGGCTGCGGTGGGGAAGGGGCTTGGATGGGGTGGGAGGCGGCCCCTTTCCCATGGCCTTCAGGGAAGAAGCTGTGGCGGGGGGGGGGGGGACGGGGAGGGACGACGCAGGTCACTTGGAACCTCCTCCAGGAAGCCCCCAGGGGTTCCTGTAACACGCCCCAGGGTCACCACTGCCCTCGGAGTGTGCAGCCCAGGGCACTGTGAAGGTGTTTACGCAGCCATGTCACTTAAAGGGTAGTGACCTCGTTAAGACACACAGTGCCCCCTGTGGAGCCAGCACCCCCTTCCGATCCAGCTCCACCCCCGATCCAGCTCTGCTGTGGCCTGGGAAAGCAGTGGGAGATGGCCCGAGTCCTTGGGCCCCTGCACCCGCGTGGGAGACCCGGAAGAAGCTCCTGGCTCCTGGCTTCGGATCAGCACAGCTCCGGCCGTTGTGGCCATCTGGGGAGTGAAGCAGCGGATGGAAGACCTCTCTCTCTCTCTCTCTCTCTCTCTCTCTCTCTCTCTCTCTCTGTAATTCTGCTTCTCAAATAATTAATACATATTTTTAAAAAAAATCTCACTAAAAGAGCCAGGCGCCGTAGATTTATTTAACCCAGTTTCCCGGAAACGCGGTCTTCCCAGTGCATTCTCAAGAGTGTGCTGGTGCTGAGATCCGGAACGGGCCCTGCCGCGTGCCCCCTGCCGGGCCCAGCCCTTCCCCGGCCAGAGCCCCGCCCTAGCCTGCCGAGAGCGCCTGCCGGTGACGCCTGCCTGCGCACGGGCGCTCAGCCGGCTGCTCCCCGGGGCCGTGTGCGCTCCCGGCCGTGCCCTGCTCCCTCCGCACCAGGCGCCCCTGGGCCTCCTGCACCGTACCCGTAACCCCGTCTGTGACGTCCCCGCAGATCCGGTGCCATTCCGAGGCCCCAGGCTTGGGCTTCTGCATACGGACTTGAGAAGCCACAACTCGGCCCAGACCACGGTCCGTGTCCCCCCACGTGCCCAGCCCGGTCCTTGCTGCCGGCTGTGGGCAGAGTGGCAGCCCCTCGGTCTCAGGATCGGGCCTGTCCCGGCCTCCGACCTCTGACCTCCGACCTCTGACTGCAGCGCCAGGGAGGCAGTGAGAGCTCCAAGCCCAGGGCAGCCTGGCGCAGCTGCTACCGCCGGAGAGCAGACGGGCAAAGCCAGCACGCGAGAGGGCCACGAAGAGACCCACGTGCCCCACAGAGCGTCCTAGAGGAGGCCCACCCAGAGCAGCCAAGCGGTGGTGGCAGAGGCCATGGTGCCGGCCACCCTTGGTGGGAACAGGCACCACCCCCCGCCTCCTCCCCGCCAGGGAGTCCACGTGACGTCACTCCAGCGCTGCGTGTCGTTTCCATCTCCATCGCCCTCTCCTTTCCCTTCCTGCTTGGAACCTATGTAAGAGGTGTGGTGCAGCAGCAGCCTTCGGGGGGCCATGGACACCCCAGCTCTGCGGTAAGGACGGCACAGAACACAGCAGGGCCCGAGTCCTCGAGGATCCCACGGAGCTGCCGCACCACAGCCTGAGACTCGTGGGTTGAAAGTCCTCTGCAAGGCCACTGCTGGGCACGCGTCTGTTCCTGACGGCTGACAGCTCCCGTGCCCAGCAGATGGATGCCCGTCCCGTGATGCCGAGGGCCTGTGCTGCTCAGAGGCCAACGTCAGCCGGCCTGGGGTGGGGGAGAGCGGGGCACCAGCTCCCACCTCCAAAGCCCGCCCGGCTGGCCAACCCCAACCAAGAGACTCCCCAGCCCTCATCTCCGCGACCTCCGACCTCCGGGCGCTATGGAAATGCCGCTGGCCCCACCCACTGGGCACCCCCTCACCTGGCCTGCGCCCTCCCAGCGTCTTTGGGCCTCGCGGGGTGGCTGGCCCTGCCCACTTCATTGCACACCGCGCGGCGGCTGGTCCCCAGCTTCCACGCACAGCACACGGTTCCAGCGAGCAGGCAGCTGACGCGGCCCTGACCACGGCCGCCAGGGACGAGGTCGGGGCCGGGGGCCTGTCCGGAGCCGCGCCTCTGGGCCCCGAGGCGGGGAAAGGACTCTCACTGGGTCCAGGGCTGGCAGGGTGGGATTGGGGGCCCCAGGAGACACAGACCCCTGTGAGCAGAGCAGAGACGGTCCCTCGCTTGGCTTGGGGCGGAGCTCAGACGCCAGCATTGGCCAAACTCTCCCTGGGCGCCTTCCATCGGGGGCCGGGTGACAGGCCCGGAGCTGTCACCCGCTGTCCGTCCAGCAGCTGGGGCTGGGAGGTGAGGGCAGGGGGCGCCGTGGACTCTGGGCCCAGCTCCGGGCCAGGGCATCAGCTCCTCCACCAAACTGGGCCGCACCCATCACTCATGGAGGCGGGGTTTGCTCAACCAGAGCTGGACTTGAACCTGGGCCCCTCTGTCTGAGAGCCTTCCTGGGGGTCAGCTCCGGGAGGCCGAGGCAGCCGTCCACTCTCATCTGATCCCCGGGGGGGTGTAAGTGGTGGCTGTGCGGAGGGAGGGAGCCCAGGCCACCCGTGTCCTCGAAACTCCTCCTTCAGCCCTTGCAGCTCGCCGGGCGCACGTATTTATGGAGAACTGGAGGCGGCGCGAGACCCCCCCATCGCCCCTGCACGTGGGGGCCCCAGAAGCCGGCGACAGGCGGTGGCAGCTCCTCTGTCCCCACAGGGCACTCGCGGTCGTCCCGCCGCCCCCGTCCACCGCAGGCCTCTCTGCGCCAGTGTCCCGTTCTGCCGCCAGGGGCCCTGCACCTGCCCCGCTTCGGGCCAGGTGGCCTAGTCCTGCTTGGGCTTGCGGGGCCGAGGCCGGCCCAGTCTGTAGTCGAGGTAGGCCCCGAGGCAGGACCACAGCAGGAAGCGGGCCAGCAAGACCAGGACTAGCAGCAGCACGAGCGGGTCGGAGCCGTCCAGCCAGGAGGCCATCCCGACAGGCTTCACGGCGGCCGTGGGGCCGGGGGCCAGGAAGCTCCGTCCAGCTGGCGGCCTCCGGGGGCCCCGCTCCGGGGACCCACCCCTGCTGTCCCCGCAGCCCGCGGCCGCCGCCGGCCCTCCGCCAGACTCCGACAGCCCGGGGCCGGCTAGCAGCCTCCTTGGTCAAGGGGCCCGTGTCCCATTCATCCGGAATTACCCACTGCCCGCGCCGACAATGACAGCATTGTGCAGGGGCCCGAGGGGCGGGAGGCAGCCGGGAGCCCGCCCCCCTCGCCGTCCCCGCGCCCCCTGCTCGCCAGCGCTGACGTAACCCCCAAACATCTCCGGCGCGGCGGCAGCTGCTGGGCGCAGGGCCGCCTCCTCCGGGCCCGCGCCGGCTCTTCCGCCCCGGGAAACAATCGGCTCCTTTCTCTGCCCAATTAGCTATCACTTCTGGAGGCCGGCGCTGTCCGGGCCGCCCCGGCGGTCCTCTCGGCGGCGGCGGCAGGCCCGGGACGCGGTGGGGGCCGGCGGGGGGAAGGGGGACCTGTGCCAAGGAGAGGAGAGGCCGAGAGAGGGGTAATGAGAACAGGCAGCCCAGCCCACTGAGGCCACCCCAGACGAGCCCCCGTCAGCCCGCTCGGCCTGGGGGGTTGGCAGGACGGCCCCCAGAGAAGCCTGCGCAAACCCCCAGATGGCCTCCAGGCCCGCAGGGACCCACGCACGCACACGGCACCCCTCCCCCCGCCCTGACCTTGACGGGGCCTGCAGCCACCTGGGGGGCTGCTCCTCCTCTCCGGGCTGTAGTGAGGTGAACCCATCCCGCCTTGAAGGACGGAGGGAAGGGGCACGGAGTGGACGCACCGGACAGCGCCTGCGCCCCCTTTCTGAACAGCAGCCTCCGCCCAGCCTCCGGGTACACACGCGTGCTCGAAGACTGACGCACACGCGTGCACACACACACCGTCACATACATCCCGCGGCCCTGGCGTCTCACAGCCGAGGTTCCCAGGATGGGGAGCCAGGTGGCCACGGACCCCATCCTCCACCCGGGGACCCCACCGGAAAGGGCTGCGGGTTTCTGGGGCCGGACACAGGTCACCCGAGCCGGCCCCTGAACCCCTGCCTTAGCCTCAGAGTGAGGGTCCCTGCCCAGCCTTTCTGGAATGTTCCGGGATACTCGCACAGGCCTTGGCAGGTGCATTCCTCGCGGTGGAGCCGGACGCCGCGGGTGCTCCCACCCCTCCCGGGCCCCTCAGCAGCAGGGGAGACGGTGGGCACCTGCTTTGTTGCCGTCTGGGGCAGGAGAGCCCTTGGGCACAGGTGAGGATTTAGGCCACAACAGGTAGTCACCCACAGCGCTTGCGGGCTTGGCTTCCAGAGAGACCCGGGCCACTGGGCGGGGGCAGCGGTGCTGGGGCGGGTGTTTCACTCACCTGCGTGGCCACCTCTCCAGGTGCGGTGTCCTGGGAGAGCCAGTGCCGCTGCCGGCTGCACTGCGCCCGTCCTCGGCTTCCCGCCCCGGGGTAGGTGCAGACGAGGTGGCGTGGGTCAGCGCACCCCGTGTTTGCCAAGCACACGCTCGGGCGTGCAGAGTCAACACGGCCGGGTCACGTGGCGTCCACACACAGGGCCTCCTGGGGGTCACCTTGTCCCTGTCGTGCCCCAGCCGAAGGCTGGTCCTGGCGTCCGTTCGTCCACTCTCCTGTTCTCTGGGTGGGCCCTGGCCCCCAGGCCACCCGTGGCCCTGCACCTGCCACAGGCCTCTGTGGCCCGGGGACGACTAAGGGCCACGGGTGGCCTGGGGGCCAGGGCCCACCCAGAGAACAGGAGAGTGGACGAACGGACGCCAGGACCAGCCTTCGGCTGGCTGTGCCCACTGCCACTTTGTGCTGTGCTGCTCCTGTCCCTGGGAGGGGGCTCCCGTGTCCCCCACAATTTGCAGTATGGTGGTTTGGGGTCACAATCTACACCCCTGCCCCAATCCCTTGGACCCTTCCCCCAGGACCTGTGCAGCCCCCAGCCCTGAGCTTCAGGGTCACAGGAGCTGCCCCGAGCACTGGCAGCGCACCCCCCCTGCCTTAGCCGAAGCCTGACCACGTGGGAGGTGACGTCCAGGTCCCCAGGAGCCCCCCACCAAGATGGCATGGAGGCAGGATGTGTCTGGAGCCTCCCTCCTCCCTGCCTTCTCGTCCCTCCCGGCCATGCCAACCCCTAGACCGCTGGCCCACGATGCAGCCCAGGACGCAGATGACCGGTCTCCCTGCTGGCATCAACCCAGACCTGGCCAACGGAACCCTGGGCCTGTGACAACCCTGGAGGAGAGATGACGGGCCCCGGCTCATTCAGCATGCCAGGAGCCACGGCGTCCTCGCACACCCGGGCTCCAGCCCCACTCCCGGTGCCCAGGGAGCTGCTCGGGAGAGCTGTCCAGGGGCGCAGGCCAGCAGGAGGGCTGCGGCGGGAGCCAAGAGCGACAGCCCCCCCCGCCCCACTGTGCAGCAGCTCCTCCTGTGGGGACAACGCGGGGAAGAACCCCGAGGACCTCATTCAAGGTCTGCTCATGTGTGCAAGGGGTGGCACCCCCCCCCCAGCTTCTGCAAGCGAGGCCGGGGAGGGGGGCGCTTGGCGGGGGCGAGTTGGACGCACCTGCTGCCCGGTGAAGCCACGCCCCTCACCAGGGCATCGGGGCGGGTACCCTGCTTGCCCGTGGCCGGCTGGTTTGGTTTCCGCTTCCTCCTTGCACCCGCATTCTCTGAACTCTTCCAGGTATTTCTAGAATGTACGGTCTCACCGAACGCTCACAGTTCCGGGTGCCGAGAAGGCATCGAGTTAGAGAGGCCAGGTTAAAGGCGGCACAGCCGGTGAAGCCGCCACCTGCAGCACCAGCGTCATACACGGGCAATGGTTCGAGTGCCGGCTGCTCCACTTCCAGTCCAGCTCCCTGCTACTGCGCCTGGAAAGGCACCAGAGAATGACCCAAGTGCCTGGGCCCCTGCACCCACGCGGGAGACCCAGAAGAAGCTCCTGGCTCCTGGCTTCAGCCTGGTCCAGCCTAGGCTGCTGTGGCCATCTGGGGGAATGAACCAGTGGAAGGAAGACCTCTCTCTCTCTCTCTCTCTCTCTCTCTCTCTGTAACTTGCCTTTCACATTAACGAATAAGGAAGGAATAAAGGAAGCATGGGTGGGCGTGAGAGCAGTCTGCATACCAAGGGGACAAGGGACAGCCCCAGAAATATACCCGGGCTTGCTCCTACACACAGAAACACCGAGACGGTCAGGTGTGAGAGTCACCCCACTTCTGCGGTGCCCAGCACGGTGGGGGAGGCTTCCGGGGTGGCCGGGACCCCGGGGGTCTGCCCCCGAGGAAGGCCTGGGGCCGGCCGACTTCTTCCCCCTGAGAACGCCTCGCAGACGGGCGAAAATGAATTTCCTTTCTTCCCGGCGACACAAAAGCAGATTAGCATCGTCGGCAGTGGGCGAAGTGCAGGGGCTCCGGCATTGAAGGAGACCCCCGCGCGCTCGCCGGCTAACGAGGCTCGGCCCCCGCCAGGCCAATCCCCGGCCGCAGGCTTAGAGGCGCGGAGGAGGCACTTGAGAGGGGCCGCGGCGGGCCCCCCCGGCAGCTGAGGGCCCGGCGACTCCGCGAGGCGTGATCAAACGACAAGTCAAGGACGCGGAGTGCCACAGAAAGACATTCCAAATAAATTAGCCGCGTCCGCGAGGCCAATCCGACACCGGATTAAGGCGCACAAAGGGGACCCGGGTATGCAGCCTACCTTGTCAGAATTCCTAATAACCTGCCCGGCTCCTCGCACCTCGGCCGCCCGCCGGGGGCCCCGGGCTGCGCGCCCTCCAGGGACATTTCCACGGAGGCCGCCACCAGCTGTCGCCGCCGACGTCCGCGTGAGCTGGTGCGCACAGGACGGCGCAGGATGCGGAGCGCTCCCCGCACGCACGCCGGCCGCCAGCCTCAACCAGGGGCGTCGCTGGGGGGCTGGGGGGGGCGCCTGGGGGCTCCTTCAGGGCAGCGATCTGGAGAAAGGTGACACCCCCCTCTCCCGGCAGAGCTGAGCTGCCCCCTACTCACTAATACAACCGACAGCCCAAAGAGCAGCACCTCTTATTTAGCGTATTGTATTTTTACCAGTGAACCTGGGGAGAGTTAACAGGCGGAGGTCTCCCCGGTCCCCCGAGAGGCACCTTTGACAGCCCCCAGCCACCCCTCGCCGTCCGGCCTTCCCCTCCCCCACTCCTCTCCCTCCCCTCCCTCCCCCTCCATCTTGGGCCTCCATGATGAATCCTCTGTGCCCAGCGGCCCCAGAGAGGGGACGGGACCCTCCCTTTGTCCCCAGCGAGGGGGCCAGCGTGGCAGGGGAGGGGCTGGACTCCACGCCGTCCTCCAGCCAGGGCCGAGATAAAGATGGCCCCAGCGGATGTTGGCGGAGGGGGTGACCTAGTGGCACTGAAATGGAAAAACAGACAGGATGGAGGAATGCTCTCCGGAGGGGCAGGACGGGGTCCCCTCAGCCCCTCCCGGTTTCCCGCAGAAGGGGAAGCCAGCGCTGGCTGGGCCTGGACGGGGAGGCCTGGGCGGGGCCCCGCACTGAGCACACAGCCTGACCCACCACGGCCCTGTGTCCCCGCTCGGCCACCCTGAGGGACACGTGTCCAGAGGCTTCCGGGAGTCCCTGCGGCCACCGGGAGGAACGGGAGGCTGCTCCCGCCTTCCCCCTCCTGCCCGGGTGCCTCCTCAGCCGGACTCGGCCCCCGACTCCGGAGACTCCGAGGGTCTCTGGATTGACTGTCCCCCCCACCCCAGGGGGCACCCGAGCCCAGGACTGAAGCTCCAGCATGGCTGCAGGCAGCCGGGCACACGTGACCTTTCCCACTGTAGCCTGTGGCCACCCACACGTGTGTGCTCACACACAGGGACACGCATGCCCCCGTCGCAGCCCCCGCGTCTCACCCACAGCAGGCGGGGAGCCCTGCGGGCGGGCAGGGCTGGGACTTCTGTTCCCATCTCCAAGACGGGCACAGGGGTGCTAGGAGAGCTGGGCAGGATTTACTTCCCGGGGCCACACCCCGTCACGGGACAGCTCACACCGGGCTCCCTGCACTTCCAGGGCCCCAGGTGAGGACGCGGGGTGGGGCCAGCCGCGGCCCTGCAGGGTCCCACCAGTTAGCCAAGGAAGGGAGGGGGGAGTGACGCAGAGCGCCCTGGGAGGGGGGGCGGGGGGACGTCACCACGGCTCCTCCTGCAGTGGGGGCCAGGAGCGAGGGGACACGGAGCAGGATGGAGGACCGGGCCACCATGGCCTGGCTTGGCCTGGCCTGACAGGCAGAGCCCTGTGCACCCAGGCCTGGAGGGCGTGGGGTCCCCAGGGGTCCTCGCCATGAGGCAGGGGCGTTACCCCCACACCCTTCCTCTGAGACAGCTCTGTCCACACCTGGATGGTCCTGAAATCGAGCCACGTGTTCCAGGGACATCAGGACTCCTCGCCAGACGCCGGGGGGAGGAGGGGACAGGAGAGAGCTGGGCTCGCCGGCTTCTGGGAGAGCTCACTGCGGCCCCGTTGCGCCGTCCGGAAACGCCACTCAAGGCGGCAGAAGTCAGGCCCTGCCCGGAATCGGCCGGAAGCAAGGTGCAAGGGGCAAGGCAGGGCTGAGGCAGGGCGGGGAGGCGCAGGGGAGGGGCAGAGGCTCTCCCTGCAAGCGAGGGCGCCCATGGGTGTCTCAGAACTGTTGGAAGGCGTCCACGCCCACGGCCAGACATCCAGAGACCCCAGCTCAGGATGAGTGACCAGCAACAGGTGCTGGGGGCCTCAGGTGGACAGTGGACAAGCAGGCGGCCTTAAATGTACCCAAGATTTGTTGTCATCAGCTACGATGCGATGATGGACGCTTGGGGCCAGCGCTGTGGCTTAGTGGGTAAAGCTGCTGCCTGCAGTGCCAGCATCCCAAGTGGGCGTTGGATCGAGTCCTGGCTGCTCCACTTCTGATCCAGCTCTCTGCTGTGGCCTGGGAAAGCATCGGAAGATGGCCCAAGTGCCTGGGCCCCTGCACCCGCATGGGAGACCCGGATGAGCTCCAGGCTCCTGGCTTCAGCCTGGCCCAGTCCCATGCATTGTGACCATTTGGGGAGTGAACCAGCAGATGGAAGATTAATCTCTCTCTCTCTCTCCTTTCAAATAAATAAAAAATAAATCTTAATAAAGATCATGGAAAATGCACGTTATTTTAAAAAAAAGGAAATCATGCATGATGTCAGTCTTGGCACCACACGCGCACTTTGCAGTCCATTTCCACGCACGTTCTGCACTCCCGGGAGAAAGCCGGCGCGGCCGCTTCACCTCTGCCCGTCCCACCTCCCGGCCGCTGTCTCCCTGCGGCTCCGACGTGCGACGTGCGCACTCACACTCGCACCCTCCAGACCCTCAGGAACCCCTCCTGTCACCACGTTGGCTCTTCCCCCCCAAGCTTGAGCTCGGTGCCATCCCCCCATTCCCCAGATGAGAAACCCGCGTCTCCCCCTCTCCCCCACCCACAGCCCGCACCACCGCCAGCATCAGCCTCGGAAGCGCCTTAGCCCCAACCAGGACAGCCGGGCCCACCGAAGACCCCCACCCCCGAGCCCCTGGGCCAGCCCCGCCCACA